GACAGGAAAACATAAAATAGAAATACAGATACAAATAGCAGCAGAAGCTAACTAAAATGGCCAACAGAGTAGAGAACAGACCGGACCAAAACAAATCACACCGTGTTAAAGGCAAGCGAATAGAAGTGGGTCTTCAAGCGAGACTTAAAGACTGAGAGTGTGGAAGCCTGCCGGACACTCAGTGGCAACTCATTCCACAATATGTAATGTGAAGTAATTTATACTGTGTTGATGTTTATTTGAATTGTATTTTCTTGATTATCAGACCAAATTAATCCAGTTTACCATTATTGCACGCTTTAGTATTTCTTATTTGCTTGTTCTTTGTTTGTTTTTTTAGCGAGTCAAATCAGTTCTTCTCATCCTAAGCATTTCATTATACTGTTAACCTTGTGTTAACCTTGCACATGACAAATAAACACAACTTGAACTTGATTTTGTTTGTATATTTAGCCCTATATTGCTTAAGTTTGACTTAAATGCCTAACTTTATGGACAAATCCATATCCATAAGCCAAATAAACATCTATCAAAGAACTCTTATAAAATCCATAATGTAAATTATTTTTTTATCTTGTCCTTCATACACCAAAGTCACATTTCTATCAATCTTATAAATTAAGTTTGGTCATGCAATATCAATAAATCTACAAATAAAGGACTATAAACGATCCATGCATTGCAGTAGTCCATCCAGTTTGTCCTGTAGCAACCCGCAGAATAGTTGGATATGAAAACCTTTGATTTACATTAACATAACTAAAAACACACACACATGCATACAATGGCTAGAATAGAAATATTACAGCCTTACATCTCTATCAAGAACACGTCCAGTGCTGTTTAGGTAAAGAGCTTGTTTGGAAGGATCAAGGATCACCCAGTAGTCTTTGTTGTCCCTTAACGACAGAGAAATGGTTCGATTTGGACCCGCAGCCACACCATTAATCTGCATGTTCGCCACCAGCAATGTTCCTGCAATAAAAAAACATATATACACAAATAATAGACAGACAAATATTAACCCAGCAGTAAGCCTAGAATTCACAGAAAATAATTATTTGTTTAACCGATACACTTTTAGGAGAAACAGAAACATATTATTAGATTGATTTTCTAAAGCAAAGACATTTTAAACATATCCCTCATTTTTAACTTCATGTTCTCAATTATTGTTCACCTGGAAGTTACGTGTCAGTTTGTTACCACATAAACGGCAATTAGAGAAACAGAGCGCAGAAGAATAAAAGCCGGGTAGAATTTAATTAGGTAATTCCATCCAGCTATTGAAGTTGTTCAGTTTTTGCTTAATCAATTCCCAAAAGACCAGCTGAATCAGAAAACAAACATTTAAAACAGAGAACGCTGCTCACCTGGGAAAAACAAACTAAATTCTCCAATTACTGCTTTGCTTTCATATGCATCAATTTAAGAAGAAACCCTTTAAAATAAACAAAAGCTAAACAGTTTGATACTTGGAGCATAATAAATGTTGGTTGTAAACAGTCAAACCTGAGAAGAAATCAATAAAAAAAAAAAAATAATTGCAGCCAAAAGAAAAAAATAATACAAATCAGAATACAATGATTATGTAAACTTTGAGGCATTGAGCATCATGTCTTCATCAACACACACACATGCACACACCTCGCACACAACAAATAATGAAAGGTGTAAGAAACAGAGTATCCAGATTCCTACTATGAAAAACAAGACACCTGGGTGGTATTGATTTATAGCTAAAGATTCTTGTCACAATAAAAGCAAAGCAGCTTTAGTATCTTTTTCATGCCAGTGATGTGATACAGTATTTCAGTTTGGCGCCTCAGTGGATTAAAATGAAGACAAATGCAACCAGGGTTTTGTTGCCCATCAATAGGTAAGCATTTGCCCATCTTCATTTTAGGATTTTTTCCCTCCCATAAGAGATTTCTAAGGAATAAATCTTCCATCTATATTGCCAGCCTGCCCCTTCTACTGCAGCAGAGACAGCAGGCTAGTTTATTTGTTATTCTTGCTTCTCATTGATTTTTTTTTTTTTAAATCTGAATGAGGTCCAAGGAGTTGGATTGTGGAATGATCTAGAGAGTGATGTAAAAAATGTCAAGTCAATGTGTACATTTAAGAAAA